TATGCCATTTAAAAATATATTAAGTAATACAAGGGAGATTCAACGTTTTTCTTTATTATTAATTGTACGTTTGCATTAGTTTTAACATGCATGGTTTCCCCTGCCCTGTTTTTGTACACAGTCAGTATGGAGTTCCATAGCCGCGCACAGACTGCTGATGAAGACGAGGGAGGCTGGCCAGGCGTCGCCTTAGCTTCATCACAAGATGCCGGCTTCAGGGCATCGCCTCGGAAAATGGAGAGATGGAGTGCGATAGAGGATGTGGGGCTTTTTAGGAGAGTAGGGGCAGATTCACACTGATCATGGTGATTATGAAATCAACTGTCAAATATGAAACACCATCTGTTCTTAAGGTCGCCGAGGAACATTTGGTAACTAATTCTAACTAGTTAGTTTAACTTAACTTATAACTCACATACTTTGTATCCATCAGGACTGTATCAGATCTTAATTGCCGAGGGAGTGTAAAGGACATTAAAAATTCTAACAAACATGAATATAAAATAACTGAGAAATTGGTGAAAAGGCATGATTCCATCCCTCCGTGTATTCGCAGCAAACACAGTTAGTTATTCCCGGCAGTAGTTACCACAACAAACTGCTGTACCACTATTTTAGCTACAGAGTGCCAACATATAAGTATTGAACCCATTAATGTATATATTCAGTACATCAGTGAACTGAAGTTCATGTTTCATTAGTCATGATCTTCCAGCACATGTTCTAGGGCAAGCTGATATTTTTCAATGTCTTCAAACTGGTTGATAAATTCTTGTCGTTCAAATGGCAGGTTTCCATACGAGGTAAATGCCGGATTTTTACTCCTTGACTTCATTTGCCTCCTTCCTAGAGTCCTGCTAGGTCGTTTCTCCTGCATGGATGTCCGGTCGAACAATGACAGCTCTCGATCCAGGCTCTGGTAGCTCTCCATGTTGGCATGGTACATGAAGGCATCGCCACAGGAACCACGGCAGCTACGGATCTTGATGTCAACGTCCACCTAACAAACAGGAGCGAGAATAAACATGTACTATCAGAAGACCGGCTTACTGTTTAACCACAAACAAACTCACAAATCTTTGACTTTGTCCGAGAATATTGGGAATATGGCTTACACTATGGTAAACTCCGGTGTCACCTGAGTCTGCTGAAGTGTTCAACTTAAAATAAGAAATTTTGGGATGTTTATAGGGGGTGGTGTGTGATTCAGTTGTTTAGGACACTGTGCCTGTGATCAGAAGGTCACTGGTTCAAATCCCAGGGTCACTACAGTGATTTCACCATTAGGTCCCTATTCTCCGGATGTTCAAGGGACTCTATGATCTTACTTTCCCAGAGAAAGCATTAGCTAAATAAAAGCGGCATGTCTGCTGTGGGACTGAGTGTTTAAACTCAGCCAGCTTCATAGTCTGGGAAGAAGCATAAAACCAGCAGGTACAGTGAAGCTCCTGACGGCCCATGGGAGCTGTGAGGCACGCAGAGCTATTCTGTGTCCTCACCTCCGCTTTCCTCGCCTCGGTCACCTGCCTCCGAACGAGGCCGTACTGCGCCCTAAGCCTCTCTGCCAGCTCGACTGCATGTCTGCGCAGAGATGTCAGGTTGTTACGCAGCTGTTCGAAGAGCTCCAGGTACTCCATCTCAGCAACTGCGGTAGACAGGTCAGAAGGGCATTGGTTCAAATCCCAGGGTCAGCAGAGTGATTTCACCATTGTGACCTTGTGCAAAGCACTTAACCCCCAGTTGCTTGAAGGACTAGCAAACCCTGCTTCAGTTTGGGGAAAAACGTGTCTGACAAATAAATAAACACTGAATGACATCAGCTACAGCCACTGAGTTACAGGTTTCTCCACAGTTAAGTTACACCAAGTTATAAGGCAATCAAGCCAACACCACATACTTAAGCGGGTACCACGGATTACCGTCTAGAACAAGCACGACTTACCATAATGTCTCACAATGGTTTTTCTCTGGTCGGCATACAGCTGTTTGGTCATAATCACTGATTTAGAAATCTCATATCTGTCCTCTTCCATCTTTGCGCACACCCTGTTTACACGCTCCCGGAAGCTTCTCTGCGCATCATCGATGAGGCCCCGCATGCGACACCCCGACGGACACCTGTCAGACTGACAGCACAAAGCACGGTGTCACACACTAGTAAGTGTCCTGCTGCAGTGACAATGCAGCTTCCAGTCTAGTCCAGTTCCTTGGCCTAAACCAGAATTCATTTATTGGTACGAAGAGCTTAGCCTCAGCCTGACGTACCCATTCATCGTCTGAGCACAGGGGGTGGGGTGACCTTGGGGAACACCACCCTTGAGTCCTGCTGTACTTGTGGGTTTTGGGTGGCGCAGGCTTCAACTTGGGCATTTTACACACTGTGGTAGAAAAAAAGATGTGGTGTGACTCATGACACCGTAAATTCTCACTCAGCACCTGTGAGGAATATTCATAATGTAGCATAATTGTGAGTGTGACGGACCGGCATCCCATCCGGGGTGTACCCCTGCCCCGTGCCCTGTGACGGACCGGCATCCCGTCCAGGGTGTACCCCTGCCCCGTGCCCTGTGACGGACCGGCATCCCATCCGGGGTGTACCCCTGCCCCGTGCCCTGTGACCGACCGGCATCCCGTCCAGGGTGTACCCCGGCCCCGTGCCCTGTGACGGACCGGCATCCCGTCCGGGGTGTACCCCGGCCCCGTGCCCTGTGACGGACCGGCATCCCGTCCGGGGTGTACCCTGGCCCCGTGCCCTGTGACGGACTGGCATCCCATCCAGGGTGTACCCCGGCCCCGTGCCCTGTGACGGACTGGATGGGCTCCAGGAAACAAACCATGACCCTGTACTGGATAAGCGGGTGGAAGACGGATCCTTAAATAACTGCTTATGGTTTACACACAGTGCTGGCGGAAAGTCTTGTCACGCTTAACTCTGTAAAAATGTAAATTTACAAAAGTCCATTGACAAGCAATGTATAAGTCATCTGCACATATCTTCTGCACAAATTAAAAAGCACCCAGTGAGACTGCTTGTCAGTGATCTTTAACTCAGAACAGCTCTTTTAGAACTGCAATTTGGGTTTCAATTTATCACTACTTGAAATTAAAGTTTTACTTAAACCTACTGATTGTTTCTAATGTGATTTGCATATTTTTGTAAAGAAAAGAATAAAGCAATGATTTTTGTTATAACACCAATAAAATTGCAATATTTTTACTGAATTGAGCAAACATCCTGAGACTTTCTGTGAGCGCTGTACATTACTTGAAAGCGTAGTATGTTTAATATGCAAAATGAACGCATGATATTGTCTCATGACTTGTAACCTTATGTAGTGTGTATTCAAAGGAGGTGCTGCTTTGGTCAGAGATTCATATGGGCTTGGCTGGAAGGTACCATTGGCTAAATGCTACCATGGGAGCATACAAATGGCACAAGCATGTGTCGTTTACACAAAGCACACTGCCCAGGGACCAGGTCAGCAGGTACAACTGTCAATAATTGTGACATAAATGTGTCTTTAAGTGTTTGTCCAGCACTGAATGTTCCCACTGGTAAAAACTGAAGCTAACAAAAAGGTCAAAGACCCAGAGGTGAACACACTGCAATGTTGCAACTTCAGGAGTAATGACTGAATCCGAAATAATACTGCACCTCCGAGGGGAACTAATTCCAGATGCAGATATATGTACTGCATAAGCCTTCACAGAGCTGTACCACAGACCAGCCAAGTCTGTGCTCCTCCTCTCCATGATGTTTTAGAAAATGATGGCCGTTCTTTAGCGCAGAGTAACATTTAGCTGTGAGCTTGATCTGTGTCATTACCAGCCATCTGTGGCAGCCGGTCAAAAAATAGAAGGTACACAGTCTAAAGCTTTTAGATTTTAATGGAATTTATGGCTACAATCTCTGTAATGCTGCAGCACTAACTGCTATGTTACCTCTTCTGTTTCTGCTGCTTACTGTTTTGTTTTAAACTGGTTTCTCGGTCCCTGCAGGGATTTTAAGAACTGCAGCAGCTTGGATCGAAAACTGGTTTACAAACAGGAATCAGCTAGTAGTTATTAGAGGCACAATGTCACAGTGGGCCTGCGTTCATAGTGGGGTACCACAGGGTTCAATTTTAGGACCACTATTGTTCCTAATTTACATTAATGATATTGACACCAATACATACAGTAAACTGGTTAAATTTGCAGACGACACCAAGGTGGGTGGTGTAGTAGATACTGAACTAGCGGCACAGAGGCAACAGCAGGATCTTGATTTAATTAGCAACTGATACCTGGCAGATGAAATTTTATACAGATAATGTAAAGTAATCCATGCAGGGAGCAGAAATATAAAGTATCTTATGGGTTCCACTGAAATAAAGGTAGCTGATTATGAGAAAGATCTCGGTGTTTATGTTGATGCTTCAATTTTCCACTCTTGCCAGTGTGGGGAAGCAATAAAAAAGGCCAATAGGATGTTGGGTTACATCTCTAGGTGTGTGGAGTTTAAGTCAAAGGAGGTGATGCTACGATTACCTAGAATATTGTGTGCAGGTTTGGTCACCATACCTTAAAAAGGACAATGTTGCCTTGGAAATGGTGCAACGGAGGGCTACAAGAATGATTCCTAGTCTTAGAGGAATGTCTTGTGAGGAGAGGTTAGCTGATCTGAATCTGTTTAGCCTCAAGCAATGGAGATTAAGGGGGGACATGATCCAGGTCTATAAGATTCTAATGGGTCTGGATGCTGTTCAGCCAAATGGCTACTTCAATATTAGTTTAAATACTAGAACTCATGGCCATAGGCGGAAATTAGCGGGAGAACATTTTAAAATGAATTTGAGGAAGCACTTCTTTACACAGCATGTAGTTAGAGTATGGAATAGTCTTCCTGCTAGTGTAGCGCAAGCTAAAATTCTGGGTTCCTTTAAATCAGAGCTAGATAAGATTTTAACAACTCTGAGCTATTAGTTGAGTTCTCCCCAAATGAGCTTGATGGGCCGAATGGCCTCCTTGTGTTTGTAAATTTCTTATGCTCTTATGTTATTCATCCTTGCACCTCTTAGACTATGGCTAATGACATTGAGCTTTTTGCTAATTCAACAATCAGTAACATCATAAAACAGGAAGACTAGTAAAAATGCAAAGTAAATTCTAAAGCACTCAGGTACTGTGATGCTTGAAGCTCAGAGAGAACCTATCACTTTTTAAGGAGAACTAGCCTATTTGAGAGGATGTAGGTTATTTGGTTTCTGACAAGTCAGATAATTTAGAGAGCAGACTCACTGCGGCCCTTAGACTCCCTGATCTGGGCATTTCATTTCACTCAGTGGCAACACCTTGGTAGTGTTACTTCTAGAAAACAAAAATAAAGATATTATCAGGGCTGGGCCAATTCTGCTGGGATCTCATAGATAAGTATTGAAAAAACACAAGTACAATGGATGTGAAAACATGGCTTTATTAACAAGCTGCTTGGAGTTACATGGCTGTATTTGGAGATTTTTGTACATTTATCTCATGAGGTATTTGCACATTCATCCTCTAAAGGCTCACAGATGATCACATGACGTCGACTGGTCGTATTTTCATTCTGACAGTTTTTAGCGAGTAGTCCGCCGGCCGGAATGTCAGCCACACCACACCGTTCTCAATCTCGTAGGGAGTGTTACTGCCCAGGTCGTACTGCCCTCCTCTGTAATAGATGCCGTTGAGGTTGGCCGACTGGCAGTTGTTGTACCACCAGCCCCCTCCGTACATTTCGGCGCAGTTCTCCTCCCACTTGTCCTGATCCCTGTCATATGTGCTGAATTTCATGTCGGCATGAGAGAGGAATGCACCCAGATTGGCTGACCCCTTCACCAGAGCATCCCCGGCATCCCCGACGTAAGCTGAGACGCTCAGGGGGTAGCCCTCAGACTCTGACCCTAAACTGATGGAGTACTCAGCATAGGAGTCTCGCCCATCCCAGTCCTCCAGCTCCACCCTCAGCATGCTCTCACCCTGGGTGAGGGAGTGCAGGTACTTATTCCCCAGCCAAACCTCCCCATGTCCCTGCTCATCTACACTTCCAAAGCCTTCCTTGTAGTTGTCCCAGGTCCGGTTGAAGTTAATGGACCCGTCCATTCTCTGCTGCACCAGGACCCAGCCTCCGAGCACTGTGTCCTGATCACAGTAGACCTGCACTACATCGTCTGAGCCCTCGGGTTTAATTTTGAACAGGCCGCTTTTATGTCCTGCCGCATGCTTCTGGAGGATATCGAGACAATCTGAAACGATATTACACCTGCAAATTAGCGTTTAGCAACGTGGGCCGAGAGATCCAGAGAGTAGCATTGTCAGTTCTGGGTTGCTTATCCCTGGAAGTTTCCGTTATTCCTCCCAAATCATCCTATTCCTCTTCTCCATAGTAATGGACTAAAATGTAACATTTAAGCAAAGCATTTCTGCCTGTCAGAATGGCAAGTCTGTCTTGTAAAATTTGGTTTACTGAACATCTCCCTTGTTGGGATTGGCTAGGCCAACTTAAGCAGAGTGGATGTGCAAACAATATGATAGTTAAATTAAAAATGCCTTTTATACGAAGTTCACTAGGCCCTCAATTATGACGTCCTTGATGTTTATGGGTGAAAATGTCATATTTGCAATAGAATCATCATTGTGCAGCTTGGTTTGCTATGCGTGTCACAGCCTTAATGGTGGGTAGCCATGTTGGTTACGGGCTGACTGGTGTACCTTTTCCAATATAATCCCTCTTCTTTCGGTCCTGGGAGCCCTTGAAGCTGCGTGCGTGGATGTCTGGCAGGTCATCCTCCATGTCCATGTGTTGGAAGGCCCCAAGATCATCCCCCATTATAGTTTTAGTGCTTGACTTAAAAACCGTCTTGCTTGACCCGCCTGTGGTGCTCTTAGAGTTGGCTGAGGACAGCATGCTGTCGAACTCGCTAAAAAACTCGTCATCACCCCGGCCCATCTGGGTGATGGACTTTGAGGGTTTCCCCATTTCAGAGAACATGCTGGTTACGTCACCACCGGTACTGCTCAGTTTGACCGTGTAGCCGTCTCCGGTGATCTCTTTCCCTGTTTTGGCCATGTTAATCAGTGTACTATCATCCAGCCCTTCGCACCCGGGACCACCCCCGATTACCTCAACTTTTTCCACAGGGCCGTCTTTGGTGTGTGTGACTTGTTTTCGAATGGTTCTGGTGCACTGCACAGTTTGAGTGGTGATGTGAGAGGTGGAGCCTGAGGCGGCGCCGGAAGCTGTTTGTTGAGCCGTACCTGAGGTCTTACTAACACTGGCAGCTGCCGATTGGCTGGAGGTCGGGAGCTCCAGTGTAAACTTCACCTGCCCGACATCCGAGAAGTAGTCCTGTTTCTGCTCCCCTCCGTCCGCCGCCCCGGCCTTGAAGTGGCTGGGCACGATCACGTCTTTCATCACCCTGCTCTTCATCAACTTCAGCGTGCTGACGGTCTCTACGTTCTGTAGCTTCATGGCCTCCAAGCTACTGAGGTGTTTCTCCAGGGTGACATAACTCTCTTTGTCCACCCTGTATTCCGCATAGCCGGCACATGATCCTTTGCAAGACCGAAGCTTTATATCGATGTCAACCTGGGAAGGGGACCCCATATATGTTCAAAGGTCTTTGAACCTGTCTATGGCAGTAATAGATGTGTACGCCAATACAGGTGGAAATTTACCTCTGTTCTCTCCGACTCTTTAACCTGCTCCCGCACTCGAGTTTTCAAAGCTTCCAGAATTTTCAGTTGCTGGTCAATTCTCACCTTCAGGGTCAGAATTCTTTCACGGAGCTGTTCGGCGAGTGACTTGAACCTATTGTCGTGGCCTGGGTCCACAAAGAGAGCCGTGTTATGGCGATAATAAGGAAATTAATATAGGAAACACAGTATTTTAGCAAGAGAAAATGGTAGCTTGAAGAATCAGAAATGGCGCCTCAAAGTGCACATGTTGAAAGTTTTATGTTGTATTAAGTCAGTAGCCAGGTTCCTTCTAATGACTCTGGTAACAACAGTGTCAACAATGAAATATGCAGTAGGAATCCATAAGAGAAGCTAGAAAAATTACATAAGCTGTAATTGATTATAACTATTTTCAGCCAAATACGACTGCGGTGGAATTTGCCTGGCTTACTGAAGACATCCCAGAGAGGGGAGAGGTCAGGTGACCAGCCAGTTCATTCACTGCACATGCGACCAATCTTACAAAGTTAACCTCTCTGTGTTTTCTCGGCTACACAATTCTCGAGGTCCAATCCCACAAACAGATAGCGGCCATTTTGTTTGCCTTTATATTTCACTCAGGCCGAAGCTGAAACCACTTCTATTTGTTCACCTCCACGCCATTTGGTTAAGCCAAGTCTCCATTCCTGCCCGGTTCTCTTTGCCATCTTGGATATATACGACTAAAAGAAGCGCCGCTGTCACTCACCAGCATCGGTGAGCAGCTTCTCCCGGATATAGTCATAGGTCTGCTTGCTGACCTGATCCGTCGTCTTGTAGTTCCTGCGGTTCTCCTCTAAAAACCTGCGAATCTTGTCAATTTTACTTAGGAGCTCTCGGTCAGTCTGGTCTAAGATCCCATTAATCCTACAGCCAGAAGGACATTTGGGACCCTGCATATTTATAAGAAATAAAATAAGAGGAAGAGTTGGTGTCCTTATTCGGGTATTATAGTAGATGCATATGAACCATGCAGTCAATCATCGAAGGTCACTACTCACCCAGTCTTCATCTGTACAGAAAGGCCAGTTCTTCTCAGTTGTGCATGCTTCGCTTTTGTAAGCATGCTCGACGGGCCGGTTTCCTCTCGGCCCCACTGTGGGCTCGGGCTGTGGCAAGAAAGTGTTTAAGACAGTGTCTCCCAATCCGGTCCTCAGGGACCCACAGACAGTCCATGTTTAAGTAAAAACATGAGCCGTCTGTGGGTCCTCCAGGGCTAGGTTGAGAAGCACCGGTTTAAAGGAAACACACATTTCAGCATGCAGTATCAAATATGCAAGGAAACACGGAAAATAGCAAACAAAAATTGATACTTTGGTCATCAGTAGCTTAGAGTTAAAATATAAACATTAAAAGAAATCCAGCGGTCATATTCATGTAATGGTAGCTATTATACGAATCCCGCTACATGCACTGCCTACATACCTGGACTGGGAAAAGCAGCACGGACAAAGCAACAATAAAGGACAGCAGCCACATCTTCCTTCTCTTTCGTGGAAGCCTTGGGGAATGCGAGCTCCCAATGGTGCTACACTGAATTTGAACCTGCCGATGGGGAATGCGAGTTACTCACTGTTTGTCTATCTGCCGTGATTGTCCAAAGGTCATTAAAGAACATCACATGAAAAGGACACCCGGATCGATTCTGGCTACACCTCAATCTGCCGATAAGCGGACTGGGGGCTCCATATTGATTTTGAGAGTGGTCTTGTTGTTTTTGGGTTATCTGTTAAGGCAAATACACCCACACGGCCTGCCAAAAGGCCTGCCAAAAGGCCTGCCAAAAGGCCTGCCCACGTGCCCGTAATTCCCACAGGACACTCTCCATTCCCGTAATTGATGGCTGCTCTTCAGACACACTATTCCTTGGCCCAGTTTTGCCACGTGTGTCTTCCAGGAAATCAGATGCGCATAAACGCTCGTTGAAAAAGTGGAAGTCCACAGTCTTCAGGCTCGCAGAATGTTTGGGTTATCTGTTGTGGTTCAGCACAGACAAACAACATCTCAGTTCCAGCACACGGGCAGTTATGCAAAGCGATTTCTAAATGACCGAGCATTCCTCGGAAAGGTAGCTGACTTGTTTTGATAGTAGTGAATCACGGGATAGACGGTTTAAAGAAGATTAAGCAACAAAGAATGATAAGAAAAATGTTTTGCGAAGGAAGAAAGGGCGACATTCCCACATGAAGAGGTTTGCTGAAAGGTTCAGGCAGCGTGTGGCTCAGTGGGCAGAGTCATTGTGATTAACTTCCAGCGCATGATGTTAGAATCCCCTGCTTACATGTGCAGTATTTGCCCCCATGCTAATCAAGTTTAGTTGAATGAATGAATGTTACATTTATATAGCGCTCTTCAAGACACCCAAAGTACTTTGCAAAACCAATGGGAAGCCACTTCAGCCACCACCATTGTGTAGCCCCCACCTGGATGATGTGACAGCAGCCATTCTGCACCAGTATGCTCACCACACAGTAGCTAAGGTGGTGAAGGGGAGAGAATTCACCAGTTTGTCAGGGTCAGCCCCAGTGGTCCCACTCTGTGTCCCTTCCGCGTTTGACCAGCAGGTGTCGCTGGTCATCCCGTCCCTCCTGTTGTCAGTCTTTGTGTTTTCCCCCACTTCCTGTCAGCCGCATAGCTCAACTTGATGAGCATGTGGTTGTCTGTAAAGCCTTCTGTCTTGTGTTTGAATCCCACCTCCTCTGTTTTTGTAGATTTTGTTCCCTAGTGTTTCATTGTATGAGTTTTTCTAGTTCCTGTGTCTTCTGATATGTATTTGGTTTTGGTTAAATTCTTTGTGCCCTTGCTTGTGTTTCTACCTGTCTGTTATTCCCCAGTGTTAGTTTCTGTTTCCCTGTTTCCTTGGTTAGTTCTTAGTTTCCCTGTTCAGTTCCCTGAGTTAATTAGTTCCACCTGTTGCCTGTTCCTGCCCTTGTGTGTATTTCCTGATTGCTCATTGTCCTGCACCTTCCCCGATTGGTTAATTGTCTGTCTCACTCCTGCTTGTCATTACCCTGTTCAGTTTTTGTATTTAAGTTCCTGCCTAAGTTTTAGTCCCTAGTGGTTCATTATTTGTGATGGTTTGTGATAGTTGTATTGTCAGTAAAGTTTTGAACATGCTGTTAGTAGCCTGCCTGTCTTGACCCTTTTGTATATTTAGTCTTTGTTTTTCCCCTTTTGTTTTTGACCTTTCGTGGTCCTTTTGGATTTTGCAGTGTTCTTAGCGTTTTCTGTTTTGTTTAATAAACCCCTGTTTTCCTGAAAGCCGCAAGTGGGTCGTCCACATTTCTGCCTGAACGGTGCCTCGTCCTCGCGCCCGAACGGCCCGGATCCGTGACACAGTTAGATGGAGGGGATGATTAGGAGGCCAGATCTGAAAGGGCCACAGTGAGCGATTTTAGCCAGGACATCGGGGTACCACCCAGGGATCCTTTATGGCCTCAGAGAGTCAGGACCTCGGTTTTATGTCTCATCTGAAGGACGGCGCCATTTTTACAACACAGTGTCCCTGTCACTGTATAGGAGCACTGGCATCCACACAGACCACCGGATGGGCTATCCTGTTGGCCACAGTGTCCCTGTCACTACACTGGGATCCACACAGACCTCAGGATAGACTGACCTGTTGGCCACACCAACACAGCTGCCAGCAACAACAATACTGCAATGTCTGCGTGCTGCCTGTCTGCGTGCTCCCTGTCTGTGTGCTGCCTGTATACGTGCTGTCTGCGTGCTCCCTGTCTGTGTGCTGTCTGCGTGCTCCCTGTCTGTGTGCTCCCTGTCTGTGTGCTGTCTGTGTGCTGTCTGCGTGCTCCCTGTCTGTGTGCTCCCTGTATACGTGCTGTCTGCGTGCTCCCTGTCTGTGTGCTCCCTGTCTGTGTGCTGCCTGTATACGTGCTGTCTGCGTGCTCCCTGTCTGTGTGCTGCCTGTATACGTGCTGTCTGCGTGCTCCCTGTCTGTGTGCTGCCTGTATACGTGCTGTCT